GAGGGTCCTAGTATTGAATATCTCCATCAATGACCACCATGCTCTACATAAAGCATCCCTGAGTCTGGCCTGGCCTTGGACACAACCATAGTTGCATGCTGAGCCTAACCTAAAGCACTGTGGCTTTGAAAAATTTTGCTTATATATAAGAAGGGAAAAAGTTCTTACTTGCTAACTTGCAGCATTTGTGAATGCAAGAATTCACTATTTCTTTGACATAGTCTTTGTGTTTGCTTAGACCTGAGTCTGCTGGCTGGCCTCATTAACATCTCAATTCGCTCCTGGTGATTTCTATCCAATTCCTTTTCCTTAGAGCAGAGGTAGGGGAAGGATTCCTGCCTCCGTATTGATTTTATGCCATAGTCCCCCAGGATCTTAAAGTTTTTAAACATTAGTGGGTTTCTCTTGTGTCCCTCCCGCTGTGGTTGTGGTGCAGGAGATTTATGTATATATAAGGAAGAAAATGTCTCCTTCTGCATGTAAGCAATACAGTCCTCCCACCAGAAAGTGTTTGCAAAGAGCGTATTTTCCTCTTTCCTCTTGAAGTTCTTCACTGCTTCATCTCTTCGTGTTTTCCACTTATTGATCTCCACTTCAGTCCAGGATAACATGTAAAGTGGGGAGGAGAAAGGAAGCAGCCTCAAGAAAGGAGCTGCATTCTCTTGGTCTTCTATGCCACCCAGGAATGACTGGAGAAATCTAGGATTGATAAAAGTTCACTGTGGGCCCTGCTACTTGCAGAAAAGGAAAGTCAGTTTTAAACCATAGCCCGGCCTTTCGGGTCCTCTGCCTTCCCCTCACAGAAAAGAATTTCAAGAGGAGACAAGCAATGAAGTATAACAGATTTGGGAAGAGAGGGAGGATGTTTAAGGAAAGAGAGAGTATGAGAGAGAGAGAGAAAGAACAAGATCTCCACATTGGAAAGGGAGCCCCAATCCGCATTGCAACATTACATATGAAAGTACAGATCTCATCAGTGGAAATGAGGGCGATACATATGGTCAGGCACTACATGGGCACAAGCAACACATAGCTCCTCCATGGAAACTCTTTAAAGCCACATATTGAAGATTGTAGAAAATCTATTGCTCCCGGTTACAAATAATATTCTGGAGATTTATACTTTGAAAGTGAGAGGTTCACCCACTGTAGCAGCTATCATTATCTTCTATGTCCCCTCAACCATAAGTATATTACCAGGTGGTGTGGTACAATGAGAGTCAATCATAGGCTGAATTCGGCAAAATGTGCACAATTTGTTAGCATGAACGTACTTAGGCAGTTACACCATTTGATTTTATATACTATTCTCACACATTTTGACAAATACTTTGAGAAAAGAATTGACTAGAAAGGGGTATGCAATATTCTTGTGGCAGAATAAGTCATTCTTCTATTTGAAGCTCCTTGAATCTTCAATTTCAGCACTCAACTATGCTGGTTTCTTTATCCCCAAGCCAATTTAATTCCCTTGCAACCTATATTCTTATATTTTTAGCCTTTGTGTAGTCATGCAAACCAGACATTTACCCCATAAAATTTATTGTACATTAATTTCTTATCTTCCCAGTAGTCACCTGTAGTGGATGTTTTTATTCTAGTTTTAGCTGTTTACTAAGTTCACTCTTACCACCAAATGAACTTTCACATGGGGGGGGCTTTGTTATTATTTTTGTAAAAATAAGTTATGTTGCAGTTTGTTTTATATGTATCTCAAACCTCTATCTTTGGAAATGTTTTTCTTATGAGACCCAATGATCTCATTACTAACGTTTTTGTACACATGAAAAAATAAAATAGATTAGTTTTTTCACAATTTTAATTGAATGCATGATAATCTATAAATATAACATGACATATTTTACGGATTTAAAATTGTAGTATAGGTATGAAAATATATGTGTGTGTGTTTTTAAATCTGTTCTCCTCCTCTAACTCTTAAATACCTGTGTGTGTGTGTGTGTGTGTGTGTGTGTATGCGTTTGTGTGTGTGTGACATGTGGCTAACCCTGGATTTGATCCCTGACATTCTGTATGATCCCCTTATCACTACCAGGAGTAAGCCTGAGACACAGCTCGGTGTGGTCCCCAAACTATACATATGTTTATATGTATTATATATTTTTTCTTAATGATTGTCCAATATATAGCATTTGAATCCCCCCTTCCTTACTATAAAATATATGGATAAGGTTGTGTATTAGTGCTAGCGCTCTGCATCTAGGAATAATTTGTTCTAGATTCCAGATCTATGGGTCTCAATAATTTAGAGGATGTCTCTCCTATAATGTTCTGAAGCTCAGGGACCAATCCAGCCATACTCAGCCAACTCTGATTCCTTGTTTACTACTCCAGCAAGCTATAAGGGGCTGCTGAGACTTAGGCAAGCCTAGGGATGACTGGCCCCTGACCTCTATCCTTACTCACAGTGATGTTCAAGGGACCATGCAGTGTCTAGGGCTAAAAGATGTAAGACAGCACTGCATTACTTTAAGCTATCTTTTTGGCCCTTAAATTTATGTATTTAATGACATTAGGGAAGTTTAGTGATATTAAGAAAATTTCTTAACCCATAAACTGTGAGTTTTCCTATCACTAAAATGTGAATATAAAATATTTGGAATGTAGAGAATTACCAGTAAACACACTTAGCGGAATTTTTCCTAACCTGGATTCCACAGGATGTAAATAAGTGGAGCAACTTTCATAGAACTCTGATTAAAGTTTAGTCAAAGAATGTCTATCACACCATATGAATGCGTTTTTCTTTGTTTTGTCAGATTTTCATAATTCATATTCACCCGTTAAAAAATTGAAGAATCTTTTCTACTAATAAAATACAAAATGTGTGATACAGCCCAAGAGAAGGACCACATGGAGGACGGGAACCACAGATCCCGGAGAAAAAAGAAAAAAAAAAAACAGGTTCCAAAAAGAGCCGAGATCACCGGCAAGTCCCAGATGGGGTAGGTACCGCATCCCGCCTCCCCCAGATGGAACCCCGGTGACCAGAAGCCTCTACAAGCACAGCTCGAGTATGCGGGAACTAGGACTTTTTCTCTCTATATACAAAGTGATCAATGGGAAGTAAACCACCCAACCTTTCTCCCTGAAAATAAGAGTTAAGTTTGGAGCACGGCCACAGCCCCAGAAACACAAGGACTTAATGCAGAACCCAGCAGCTTGGAGCAGAAAAGTGAACAGACTATGTGTTAATCCAGGCCATCATGTCTGCCCGGAGGGGAAAGGGTGTTGCTCCATTCGCCCTCTCTTCTCTGAAAGAAGGATGGCGGCCCCATGGGAGCCTTGTGGACAGCAGGTATGAGCCGGGGGTGTGGGGGCGACTAAAACCTCATGGGAAGGGGGGCGTTCCGGTCCGTCCTTCACGCCCTACCGAGGTCACCAGTTGCCCCCACGAGTGGCTCTCCAGCACGGCCACAGCCCCAGAAGCACAAGGACTTAATGCAGAACCCAGCAGCTTGGAGCAGAAAAGTGAATGGACTAGGTGTTAATCCAGGCCATCATTTCTGCCCAGAGGGGAAAGGGTGTTGTCCCATTCTCCCTCTCTTCTCTGGAAAGAATGATGGCGGCCCCATGGGAGCCTTGTGGACAGCAGGTATGAGCTGGGGGTGTGGGGGCGACTAAAACCTCATGGGAAGGGGGGCGTTCCGGTCCGTCCTTCACGCCCTACCGAGGTTACCAGTTGCCCCCTACGAGCGGCTCTCCAGCACGGCCACAGCCCCCGAAGTACAAGGACTTAATGCAGAACCCGGCAGCTTGGAGCAGAAAAGTGAAAGGACTATGCATTAATCCAGGCCATCATGTCTGTCCGGAGGGGAAAGGGTGTTGCTCCATTCGCCCTCTCCTCTCTGGAAAGAAAGATGGTGGCCGCATGGGAGCCTTGTGGACAGCAAGTATGAGCCGGGAGTGTGGGGGCGACTAAAACCTCATGGAAAGGGGGGCGTTTCGGTCCGCCCTTCACGCCCTACCGAGGCCACCAGTTTCCCCCCACGAGTGGCTCTCCAGCACGGCCACGATTCCAGAACACAGAAACCAATTTCTTAACTATCTGACTTTCAGTAGAAATACTTCCAGGGTCAATAGGTAAAATAGCAGAAATCCAAAACCAACATTTAATTCTTGAACCCAGCTGTAGAAAGCAAATCACTTCACAATACTTTTTCAGCATGTCTGATTTGGGGGGGTGAACTCTAAATAATAGTGGTGAATCTTTTATTGAAACAGTGAATCTAATCAAAGCAGATAGAGTGTCAACTAGAATTCATCTGCCTCACAGGGACTGGGAGGGGTGGGGGTTGGGGTTTTATTGGGGTTCTTCATGGTAAATAATAAGTATTGGTAAAGGGAAATGTGTTTGATATTTGCATGACTGAGACCTAAACCTGAAAGCTTTGTATCCTTTCCCACAGTGATTCAATAAATAAAAATAAATAAATAAAAAAAATTAAAAAATAAAAAAATGAGTCATACACAAAAAAACAAAAAAAATACAAAATGTGAAAATACTCTGATTATTAAAATTCTTATGATTAATAATGAAATTGCCATATTTTCTGTGTGTAAATATGTGGTTAGTTTTTATATCTTTTAGAATTGTCCATGTTATGGCAAAATAAAAACTAAAGTTTCATTGTCTTAATAAAAGTTTTATTTTTTGCCCATGACACATTTTTCACAGTAGTTAGATTGTTATACTTTCCATCACCTTCACTGTGGTACCCAGATGATGGACCATATTTATCTGGCATTTTATCAATATTATGGGAGACCAATAAAAATCATATGAGATGCTGAAGATTGAACCAGGGTCTGTAAGTCCAACACCTTACTTGCTGTACTATTACTGCAAAAGACTCAGCCAAAAACCCAAGCACAAAATTTGTAAGTCTACAACTGTACCTCATGGTGTCTCACTAATAAAAATTAAAAAAAAAAAAAAGCTTCTCAGTGAGCCAGCGCATTGTGTTGGTCCACATTACCACCGCTGATACATCTGAATGACATTCAGCAATGCCCTGCAGCCCCTCCAGGTTTCTGTTCTTCAAGGCAAAGGCCAGCAGAGACCTCTGTTCTAGGCTTTTTGAGACACAAACATCACCAAGTTCTTGGTGACACAAGTGAAGGAGGGCCTGGCTCGGCCCCAATAGGACTCTAGTGGTGATCACGTGCTTCCTGATGCAGCTGGTCACCGCGCCAGGCTCCAGGGCAACCAGCATGCCCATCTTCTCCAACTGCATCACAACTACGAGGGTGTAGCTGACGAAGTCCCTGCACATCACCTGGCTCTTCTGTTTGGACACTTCTGGCGCCCTGTTCTCCATGGTGAGAGGCTCCCCTGGCCCAGTTCACACTCACCATGCCACTCCTAGACGATGTTCTATTTTAAAATTATTTTAATTAATTTCTTTTTGTAATTTAGATAATATGGTTACAGTAGTATCAGTTGATGGTATCAAAAGCCTCTATTTTAAATTATAATTGTCAGGTTTTGCAAAGTCATTACAAGGTTTTTACAAGTACTCTTTAATAACAAAAAATGACCTAAGTGATGATGAAATTGGTAATTTCTTTGATGATGATGATAATGAGAATATATAATAATTTTTTTCTTCTCTAAAGATTGGGAATAATGACATTGTTACTTTAAAATGTGTTCTGTACTTGGCTTCTAATTTAAATGTTTTTTTTAAACAAAACTCTTATAATAATTCCATTTAAAAGTTCTGATTTTGTTCTATTATTTTCTTAGGTAAGGAGGAATAGTCACACAAAGAATTAGAATAAGGAGAGAAGGACAAACATAGCACTTTTATCACACAGAAATTGGGAGTTTAACAGCTGATTAGCTATTCGAGTGCCTTAGTGAGTCCCTTGTGCTTTACATTCCTTTCAGCTTAATTAATGACTCACTCTGCCTTTTAATCTGCCTTCCTTAGATTATTAACACTGTGGAATTGTTTACTCAAGGAAAGTTGCAGAAAGTAAAGTATTGGCAAGTATATCACCCCTATTTGAAAGCATATTATCTTGCTAATTCACATGTAGATCTCATTTGTTATTTATTTAGTTCCATGATTGTAATATAATATAAATTTTAAAAGTTATTACTCAGTAGGATTTTTTAGGATTTTGAAATTAAACACATCGACAAATATAATAATCAAATATATTTTATACTGCTATTACCAGGTCCTCCACATAGGGGGATATGATCACTGCTATAGGTCAAGTTTTCTGTTAGCCTCCCTCAAACATTCAGTTAAAATGGCCGAGAGTTATAAGGGGGAAAAAAATCATAGTTTAAATTGTTTGCTAGTATTTTATATTGAATATATTATTTTTATTTTTCCATACTTTTACCATGATTAATACAAAACATACTGTAAATTCTTTCTCTCTTAGCTTTAGGAGTACTGGTTTACCTGTTTATTTTTCTTAAATTTATATAGGCATGACTCTACAATCTCTTATTCAGAGGTTTTACATTAGATTTAGTTTGTCCTTCAAAACTGGATTAAAGAGAGTTGCCAACACATATGGTAGCTCCTGGAACAGTTTATAGTTTGAACAACCTACAGGAAACCATGAAAGCCATATTTTCTGTCAGTATTACTAAGCCAAAATCTGTGTTTGGGAATGAACTTGAGAACGTACCTAAAATCCATGCAAATATCCACTTAATGTTCTTATATAGTTTTAGAGGTGACATATTCTAATTAACATTCCAATTAAATCTCCAATATTAGTTATTGCTTTTTAATGAGTCAACGTAATTTTGAACCTTTTCTGTTTTCTTAAAGTGTAATATTTTTATGACTAAAAAATTCCTTTTAAATCAATATTTAGCTCTATATCTTTTCCTTAATAGCCTTGCTTGTGTTTTGTTTTATATTTTTTGCTTTTTTCAAAAGATAAATGCTTAAAGTATTCCTCAATATGTTTTTTCAGTTTTTCAAGCACACTTTGTGTATATATTTTAAATAATTTTATAGACTGTCTTGTTGTAAGACATTAGTTGTGGAATAATCAGTAACATCAAATACATTTTTTAAACATGTATAATATATGAGCTCTCCAGGTGAATAGTTCCTTTGATCTTTCAGTAGAAACTCATTTTATGAGAAATACTATAGCAAATTTCTCAACTCTAAAAGCTTCTGGCTCTTAACAATTGGCACTTCAAAGACTTTTACAACAAAGATGGTGACAGCTAAGAGTGTATCATAAGGAAAGTTTATAGTAAACAAAAGACTTCTTTGATGAAGAATTTGATTTTCTAAGGATAGCTAATACTGTGTGGATTTTCAAAGACTGTACTACAAAGCATACTTGAGGGATTGCTCTGCGACCATATTCATGTCTGTTTTTTTATATCTGAAAATAATGAAAAGATATCACTTTCAAATGAATGATTATAGGTAAACATAATTTCCATTTTAATAACAGAGAGGGAAAATAATATTTTAACTTAATCCAGAGTATAACTATCTTGATAATATTGAACTGATAATTTTAGTCATTAAGAGAAGATAAACCAATTTGTTTACTTTGTTTGGTTTTATTTTTCCATAACTCAACATTCAACTAAAACCTTTAGCATCCTTGCCCTCAGCTTTCACTCTCAATCAGCAGCTTAACTGCAGAACCCTAAGATTTTGTTTTCTCTAATATTCTTGCTTTATATATTTCCTTTTCTCCAGTATGGAGTTAGTGACCTCACATTTTTTCTCTTTATACAGAAGTTTTGAAATTTATTGAAATTGTCACTTCAAAGTGTCTCCCCATCCCCTTTAGTACACAAAGCAAACACTAATTATGTGGTATAAAATTAAATATATTAATATGTGTTACAATTAGTGCTAAATATAAAGATTGCGTTTACAGATACAGACCTAGTATGGTTTTAAACTGAATAATGTCAGACTTAAAACCACTAATATCCCGTGAATTCAAGAATCTTCCTCAGTTATGAAAATAAAGGCTTTTTAAATATACCAAAATATTTATATATTTGACAAATGTTTAAATCTAAATAACATAATTAAAAAAACAGCTGTATGCTTAAAAGTCAAGGTAGTTGTCAACCCTTCATGTGTTACTAGTATGATACTGATTTATCTTACTTAATGCCTAAATTAGAAAGTCAAAAACAATCATAGATGATTAAGCCACACAATCAGTGCTACATCCATTATTGTAGATAATATTAAAAAATTTAAATACTATGGTCAACTGTGATGGAAAACTTTTAAAAGGTTCATGAAAGAGATGTGACTCATTCAAAAGTCAACACTTTAGTTGAGGATAATTTTTTTCTTCTAAACATTATATAGACATTTAAGATATACATTATCCTTCACTTTGACCCAGAGAAAAAGACAGTTGTAGATGAAAATAGAGAGCAATTTGATTCTCCCATTTTGAAATATTACGTTCTTTTTCTATTTTTTCTTTTCTTTTTTCTTGCTTGTTTCCCAATAGTATGTTTATGAAAATTTCAAACGTTTTATTGTTTTCTTTTATTATTATTGTTGTTGTTATTATTATTATTATTGTTGATGGGGAATAACATAAGACTGAACTCATTGTTACTCAGGGCTCTTCTCGCAGAGTTCACTGTACTTTTGAGGATCCAACTCAGGTCAGTCACATTCAAGCCAAACACTCTACTTGCTATAATTGATCTTTTGCAACAAACTATTTTTTTTTTAATTTGGGCAATATGATCTGGTGGAGGAAAGCATAGGATTGGTGTTAGAACAATGCATAAAAATTTAAACATTTTTTATAGCCTGTATAAAAGTATTACCAATGTTTAAACATTCATATGTGTATATTATTTATTTGATATAAAGATATCAGCATACTCCCATATTTGTAGAGATGTATATTTACACAAAGATTAACTGGAAATTATCTCAAACATTATTAAGGTTTACGTTCAAATTTAAAACAATAAGGCCCTCCCGTTGTTCATTGATTTGCTCGAGTGGGCCCAATAATGTCTCCATTGGAGACTTTGTTGTTACTGTGTCTGGCATATAGAATACATCACGGGGAGCTTGCCAGGCTCTGCCGTGCGGGCGAGATACTCTCGGTAGCTTGCCGGGCTCTCTGAGAGGGGCGGAGGAATCGAACTCGGGTCAGCTATGTTGGCTGCGTGCAAGGCAAACGCCCTACCGTTGTGCTATTCCATAGTGTAGTGGTTAAAACAATAAACAAAATCATATATGTGAGAGGTAAAATGCAAAAATTTTTATTACAAATATTTAAGATAATGGGTTAATATATACAGATATATTACTAAATGTATGTATGAATAGGTAAAGTACAGCAGGTAGGGCATTTATCTTTAATGCAGTTGACCAAGATTCTATCCCTGACACCTGTTATGGTACCCTATGACCTCCAGGAGTGATCTCTGTGGGCAGAAACAACAGTTAGAGAATATTGCAGTATGGCACTCAAACATACATGCAAACAACAAACTAAAAAGCTCACCTAGACGAGCATCATAATTAATATTTTGGCATACAAAAATATATCATACTTGTTTTGGGTTTGTCATTTTTTCTGTGGAGATATGAAGTAAAAATGGCATCAATTGTGCTTTGAGTTATTATGACCATTATCATATAAATGTGTTCTTGTTAGATAACCAAAAACTTTTATGATTTAAGAAAAAAAAGTAGCATACATACATGAATAATTGGGGTCAGCAAAGTTACAGAACCAAATTTTAGGTAAATAGACATAAACCAAGAAGATTTGTACCATACAAAAATCATCACTAAGTAGATTCCAGGAGAATGCAGGTGATTGATTGAAAATGAGAAATAGGTGAGGTCAAGTAAAAAAAAAAGCTCTTGGAACCATAAATAAGAAATGATGTCAAAACTAAGCTTATTTTCTACTACAGTTAAAATGAACTTTAAATGCCTTGAAAGGGAAAAACAAATAGTCTAATGCTTAAGAAAGTGACTGAACATAATATGCGTTAGAAATAGAATTTAAGTGGTATACTTTTTGACCCTCTAGCTTATGAATGCCTATTAGAGAGTCCTTAGTAACTTTATACAGCTATATTCAAATCAAAGTAAATGATAGTTGCAGAATTATATTGAGTAAAGGTTGGAGAAAAATTTAATTAATTTATGCACAGAAATCAGATATTTAAGTGAGAAAATACCTAAGCGAATGGGCCATGGCTTCCTGTAAATTATACTTTTGATACTACACATGGTGAGCAGTATTGCATGCATTTTAAAAACATGTACCTCTTCTTTTTTTTTTAATAATTTATTTATTGGATCACTGTGGG